TGATCTTATTTTTCCACATAAATTATTGAACTGCCAAATGACTAAACTCAGCTATTTACTTCATTGCATGAATATTTCTTCTGTGTGAGAATCCTGATTCATAACAAGATTATTGATCCTTTATCATTCACTCTCAAGCAAAAAAAAAGCCATACATGTAGGATTTAAGGCTCTAGGCACTTTTTATCTCATATCAATAAAATTTGCAATCTCTGTCCCGCAGGGACACAGCAAAAAGACACAAACAAGAAATGCTAACGTTTAAATCCAAGGACCTTAGTTTCATTTTTTCTGTTTGATACTTTTAGAGGCACAGGCATAAAACAACGTGCACAAACACATGTATCCGGGCAGCAACTTGGCAGCAAACAGAATTCAAGTCTGCAAAGTGGCTGGGAAAGTTTTCGGCCAGGCTGCCTCTCCCGGCCCTGTTACAGTAAACATTGCAGGATACTGACACTGGAAAAAGCAATGGTTTGACCGCGGGGAGAACAGAACCAGCATACCTGACTAGCCCCCAGTCATCACAAAGCAGACTGGACAGAGTAGCAGGACTAGAGCAACTTCATTTCCTTCAATCTGAGCTGCTGCTAGAGATCATTTTAAAATTTGTCTATAACATGCTGTCTCAGGGTGTGTTCCTCATTCTTTTCTTTCTTCTATTTCTTTTCCATCCAGTGGCTGAAAAGTGTCCTGAGGGTTTGACAGTTTCTATTTAATCATTTCATCCTCTGTATGGAAGACTGCTGAGCACCATACAGCGAAGTCACAACCAGCCTGGAATTTCTGAGTATCTGCCTGCCCTCTTATCCCTTTGGTGCCAGACTCCTGATATCTCTCTTGCCCCCTGACCCCTCACTCTATGTCTGTGATGCTGTAACAAATAAAAGTTCTAAATAACTCTCTTTGCTGGGAAGGGAGGGCAGGGGGGGAGCAAGCTGCATTTTGTCAACACACATAAAATGGCTAACATATTGTTTCCCAGGGTTTTCTTTTGGCTTCCAGTGTACTAAGGAAGTAATTCATTAAAACCACTATCAGATTACAGAGATGGAGAAGAACTAACAGACAACTATTTTATTTAGCCTTGGAAGACACAGTTCAACTCCCAGCTTTCTGCCTTTTGCAATTCACAATCTCTTAAAAGACTCTACTAGAGAGTCTTATACTTTCTGTCTTTCACAAAACTAGATTCTTTAAATAGATAAATAAATCCATTAATGTCTAGTCAAATGCTAATATGAAATTTCCAACTTTTGATTGTCCTCCTACTTTCATAAAACAAAGCAAGGATCAAGCAATGCATGAAAAATAAGTTAGAAAAAAGTTATTACTGCTGATCAGCTTGGTCTGTTTGTTCCCAGCCAGGGTCTGCAACTGATTTATTTTTCCACTAGGGATTTTAAACCTTAGCAATTCTATGAATTATTCAGAATGGACCCAAAGTTCATTTTGGGAATCCTCAGTGATGTCTTTCTCTAATATCACAAAGCACTCAAGCCCTGACTGCGTGAAGGAGTGTTAAGCAAACATTGAGCAAAGCAGAGCACGAGCACGGATGTGGATACCTCACTGGCACTACTCCATAGTGAATGCAATCACGAACATCATTTCCTTCATTGACCACTCGGATTGCCTGAGGGTAAAAGCATGTACACACAGACAACTATTAAAAAGATGACACACTGTAATGTTACACCTTCCATAAGCCTGTGACAACTCTTCTGTGTACTCATACCCCACATGCCTCTCAAAAATGACAGTAGCCATTTTGCGAACACTCCCCTCTGTTAAGACACACAGAAATCAATATATCTGGCCATAACCATAGGAGGAAAGGGACACTAACAGCAGGCTGCAGAAAGCAATCGAATTGCAATCTGATGTACGGGGTTTTGCTCTCAATAGCACGTATGCATATCTGTAGATAGAGCTAATCATGGCTTTTAGGGTATTCTGCAGAAACATCCAGACATCTGGAAAAGCAGCAGGGCTGTATCTGCTCTTCCGTCACTAGACCCTGCAAAAGATTCTGTGATAAGAGAGCAACAGCCAAGTTGGGAGATGACATTGAGGAACCATCTATCTTCTCATAACTGTCATCATGGACGTCCTTTCATTAAAAGCTGCAGGCTCTGCAGATCTAATATGCTTCTGGCAGAAGAGTTCGAAAACATACCCTTCAGACTCAAAAAAAAAAAGAAATTAAATAGTAAGTGGTATTCCAACAGCCACTAACTAAACTATAGCCATGTATTTAGTTTAAATCAATCCCATAGGACTGATCAGTGAGGCCAGCTGG